AACAACAAAAAAACCCAGCATTCAGCCAGGCACATTTTCTACAAGTGTTGTGCATGACAAATTCCATTGGGAGACTATCTGGGGAAGGGGAAAGACCAATAATGCTCTGTGAGGATGCTTACCTAGCCAAGGAGTCAGATAGAGAAGGTGAAGAAGTCTCTGAAAAGAGAAAAGCTCAGAGTCTCCAGCAAATGTAACAGGGGGTTTCTCCTTGTCATTTTTGCCTTTGTCTGTTTCATTACGATCATAGGCACAGGACTCTGGTCTGTGCACCAGCCCCCATAGGAAGTGTTCACAGCTATTGTCTTCTTTAATGTAATCCTCCAGGCAGCATCTTGGCACCTCGACCTTATTCTTCCCATTTGACAAATGCAGAAGACAAGATCTCTGCAGGTGAGGAGGTGGGGTCTACTCCCAAAGCCAGCAAGTGGTCAAGGTGAGGCTTCCCTTTCAGTTACCAGAGGCGGAGTCTCGGGAGTTCATAGCTCCTGGGCCTCCTGGTGTGATGGCTGCTCATGCCTCCTGCCAGGCACTGTTCTGAGAGTGTTTCAGGTACTGATTTATGCAACCCTCATGAGATGTGAAGTTGCACTGTCCCCCCTGTTCCAGTTGAAGAACCAGTCACAGATGGTTGTGCCACACAGCATGAACAGAGTGGTTCGGTAGCTTGTCTAAGGTCGCACAGCTAGTGAGTGTCAGAGTGGGCTTTGAACCCAGGGTAGATGTGTCCTATCCCTTCAACGAAGAACAGTTGGGAAGTTGACAAGCTGCCCCACTGGGAGAAGGGTGTCCTAGTGTGGTTTTGCACACCTGGCATACTTGTTCCCCAGGTGAGCTGGAGCAGCAGTTCAGACCTTGGTATAACAGAATTACTTTCAAAAATAATCATGTTGTAATCAACATTTATAATTTTTAATTTTGTTCTTTAGTTGTTTTTTTATTTATTTTATTAAGGCATGTGCCTTTTACTGGGAATCAAACCGTGACCTCCTGGTTCATAGGTCAACCACTGAGCCACGCTGGATAGGCTTGTTCATCAATTTCAACACAAACGATTAAAAAGGATGACATTTCAATTTGTAAACATGTTATTCAGGTGCAGGCCAACTAATATTCGCACTTAACTAAAGATATTATGCCTCACTATTCCCACTCTTTTCCCTAGTTTTAAACTTTCAACCCAGAAACTCCAAGTGATCACAGAGGATGATGAAATTGAAGTGAGTCAGGTTTTATTTCTTTGTCTTCACAGTCTCTACTATCATTGTTCATTGCAAATCAACTGTGTCTGCACGGATATGTGTGGCCCATCCAGCTGAGTGACTCCCACCCAGCAGGATCCCACTCAACAGGAACTTGCTCCGGAAGGCAAGTGGGTGGGAAGGCCTGAGGGCTGCGGACCTGAATTGCAAGTGGGAATTCCCCAAACGTCCATGTGGAATACAATGCTTATTAAAGTATATGTAATTAAAAGTTGCTAATCTGAAGTTTGCATATATATTGTTAAAAGAACCACTACCATCACAATTGTTTAGAATTTAGACCAACAACAAACAAACTTACTTTTTTTTGTTTTTTGTTTTTTTCGGGGAGGAGAATTTTATCATTGACCTTGTTAGTGGGGCTTGGTGAAAATAAACAGATAATTTAAAAGACCAACTTTTAACTACTGTTTACATTTTCTTCTGACCTTGTGGATATCATGGTCCCTCCTTAAGGGACAGAGAGAAAGTCAGAGGGAGCCAAGGAGAGAGGGGAGAGCCAGTAAAGCAATTGCACCGTATCTCGAAGCTCAGTGCGTCAGCAAGAGGAACATGGCAGCTATGCTGTGCAGATAGGTGGTTCACTGCCTTATGCCATCTGGTGAGGGCTTGGCAGTAGACTCCATTCCCACTACCTCCCCAGTTTGCTTCCTACATAAATCCAGAGGATGAAGGAAACAGGAGCTCACTGTTGCTGGTGCTAGAGCAAGAAAGGCATCTGGGGTCCTGGTCCCATCTCCTTGTTCACAGATCAGGGGACTGGAGCCAGGCTGAGTTAACGGGGTTACTAGAAATAATGAAGTGGAACCCCCAACTCCCAGGACAGAGCAGTTCCGGCCAGTTACGTGGCCTTTCTCACAGTAAGTGCTTCACGGTACTTCCTGGCTTAACGGATGAATTACCTGCACACATGTCTTTGCTAGTTCATTTTCTTCTTTAAGATGTCAACACTCGGCTAAGTGAAGAGTAGTCGATTTACAAGTTCCCATGTGGAAGATGAAGAATTGCCAGCAAAAGAAGAAATCCTGAAAAAGATCTGGGTGGCAGGGTGGCTAACAAGAGGTAAGCCACTCACTCAACCCATGTCCTTACGCACCAACCAACAGCCCGCTGGCAGATCCTGCAGGATCATGGTAGTTAACGGAGGGACCAGCTGTGGGCTGCAGACAGGAGTCCAAAGCAGGCGAGAGGCTCCCTGCTGTGAGCCGATGGCAGGCTGCAGCGCAGCTCAAGGCGAACACCGTCAGATTGCTTTTAGAGAATGTGAAGAAGTCACCTGCCCATAAACAAACTTTTAGAAATGCAGCTTCTTCCAGGCTGAGATCAGCACCGACACTCACTAAGCCTCAATGTGTGCCCAGCACGCTGGCCCGAAACTAAGGACACCAGCCTTCCCAGGTCCCCTTGAACCTGGCTACTTCCCCAAGTCTGGGAGCAAATTCAGAATCCTGAGGTGGCAAGTCATGAGGAGAGGGGGTCTGGGAGACTCAGACCCCACAACCAGCCCCTCTGATTGTTCTTCAGCCCAGCACCGTTTCCTCATCTCCAGTGGGCACAGCCTTTAAGAACCCCAGAACATGGTGGTATAAGCAGGAAACCAGGAAGCCCTCCTGTGTGCCCTCCCACCCCACTCCATGCAGCACTAAGGATGGCCTGATCATCTCCTGAATCTGCTGTCCTTCCTCCAGGGGCCTAGCTCAGTCCGAGTCACCCTCCTCTCTGCCTAGGAAATCGGCTGCTCAGGGTCCCTTAGCCCTCGCCACGCCACAGAAGGGGGGACGCTTTCTCATACACATCTCAGCATGCCAGCCCCTCTGTGTTTCCCCATGGATTGAAGTAGCCCTACATCTTCATGGTTTGGGCTCACAGGGCTCAACCTTCCCCATCCTTCCTTTTTATTCCCCAGGATGTAATCTCACTGCCCGTCCTTTACTCCCTGAGAAGCTCACAGCCCTCCCACAGCAGGGCCTTGGCATGTGCTGGCCCCCTCTATGGACATCATTCTCCCTCTTAGATATTCCTCCCTTAGACTCTGGCTTCATTGCTATTCTTCCCCAGAGGTGCCTGGCCCACCCCTCACCAGGTCAGGACATCTCTGACACCCTCAACTTCTTCCTGCGGTACCTGTCACAGTTTCAACTGTTCAACTTGTTCAAATCTGCCCACTCAGACTTTAAGGGTCACAAAGGCAAGATTCCCCTCCCAGATTCCCAGTGCCGAGCCCAGCACATAGTAGGGGCTTAATTAACTTTGGGTGCATGGGCAGATGCATATAGTGGGCAGATGGATGGATAGTAGATGGATAGATGATGGATGGATCTCCATAAGCAACAAGAGCACAGGGAAGACCCTGTAGTTTCTGAGAGAGGGTCCCTGGACTATCTCAAATACCTTATGAAAATAAGTAGGACATAAGGAACACCTCTGAAAGATATCCAGCTGAAATCTGAGATGGGCACCTGATTTATGCTTTGGGGAAGCTGGAAGCCAGTGAGTTCCTAAACCCCATTAAACCCTAAACTCACTCTAATCTCTATATGGCAGACGCTGGTACTGCACCCACAGCCCGTGGCGGTCCCCTGTGATTCTCCACCTGCGTGTTCCCTCTGGTGTACTGGGTCCTCAAGTCAGCCCTGAGCACCAAGGGGCTGCTGCTGCCAGTGAGGAGGGGGCTGGAGGAGACCTGTGCCAAGCCCCGCCCCTCAGCTGGGAGACTCTGCCATGTGACCCACATCGCCTCTCAGAATGTCCCAGGGAACTGAGGTCCAGGGGTCCCAGTGTCGCCTGCCCTTTCAGTCACCCTGTGTTGGCTCCTCCTTTTTTTGTCTCACTGTTCCTCCCAAATAAACTAATTGCCCTGGTTCCTTATCTCAGGGTCTGTTTCTGGGGGACCCCAATCAAAGACAGCCCCAATAAGCACAAAGGGCCCGTGACACTGGGAAAAACAACAACCCTGGCAGTCTAGGGCCTTTGGTGAGTTGCTGTGTGGGAGGTGGTCAGCCAGGATGCCTGGCTCTTGTTAGGAACAACAGAATTGTGATGAAGGCAACGGGAGCCAGGCCTGGACCCTCCTCCTGGGTCTAGACGTCTGACCCTTCCCGGGAACCCTGAACGGGGCAGGGTTCAAGCCCCGGGCCTGGAGGCCAGAAACATTTCCATTTTTTCTTTCTGATGCTTTGGGTGTACTGTCTCCTCCCCGCACAGTGTTTGTGCCGTGACACCCTGAAAACTGCGAAATTTCTCCCAATTTGGTTTGATGTTCTCGAGGCGCTTGGCGCTGTATGAGACACTCAGACATTCCCACGGCCCAGTTCCTATTTAAAAACTGCCTCTCTATTTAAAGTTCGTGATGGGGGGAATAAAAGGGAGAAGGCTCCCAAAACTGAAGGGAATGTGAGATAGGAAAAGAAAAATCCACTTTGCTTCTAAAAAAGGCTGAAAATGATAACCATCCGTGGTCTCGTGTGTCAAGTCTGAGGATTCTTTCCTCTTTCTGGGTGTTTGCAAACCAGAGTGGAATTTTGTTATGGGTTGCTCAGTGCGATGTTCAAGTTCCTGGCCCCTGAAACTCCCTCCTCTCCCTGTAGCATGCCATTTAAGCTCCTCGTATGGATGGGAGAGAATGGATCCAAAATAAAGCAGCCCGTGTCCCGGGCTGCCTTCCCCCGATGTGGCCACATTTTCCCAGAGCTCAGCCAGGGAGCCAGCAAAGCCGCCTGGCTCCTTTTATGAACAACAAAACCATGATGAAGGCAACAGGAGTCAGAAAACTATTCACTGCAGGAAGTCCCAGTATCCGGTGAGAAATAAGAAATACAACAGCACAGGATGCGCCTTGGGTCAGGGGGACGTGCAAAGCCCGCAGCCTTTGTGTTCTTCTCTGTGCCAGAGTGTCAGCGTCTGAGCCCTCGGCTCCCCTCTGAGCTTGGCTGGGGCAGGCACGGTCACTGTCAGGCTCCCAGCCCCCGCCGAGGGCGACACGGAGACCGCGATGGCCACCTCCGCCAGCCTGCTGCCACTGCTGCTGCCGCTGCTGAGCCAGCCCTGGCTGGGGGCCGGTGCTGACACACAGGCCGTGGTGTGCGCGGGCACTGCCTGCTACTCGGCCCACTGGGGCAAGCTGACTGCCGCCGAGGCCCAGCATCTCTGCAGCAAGGACGGGGGCAACCTGGCCACAGTGAAGACCGAGGAGGAGGCCCGGCATATCCAGCGAGCACTGGCCCAGCTCCTACAGCCTGGGGCGCCCTGGACAGGCAAGTTCTGGATAGGACTCCAGCGAGAAAAGGGCAAGTGCGTGGACCCCAACCTGCCCCTGAAGGGCTTCAGCTGGGTGGGCGGTGGGGAGGACACACTGTATTCCAACTGGTACAAGGAGGCCAGGCAGACTTGCATCTCCAACCGCTGTGTGTCCCTGATGCTGGACCCGTCCGTCTCTTCCCTCTCCAGCCACCTCCCCAAGTGGTCTGAGGGCCCCTGTGGGAACCCGGGCTCCCCTGTAAGCAACATCGAGGGCTTCGTGTGCAAGTTCAGCTTCAAAGGCATGTGCCGGCCCCTGGCCCTGGGGGGCCCAGGCCAGGTGAACTACACCACTCCTTTCCAGGCCACCAGTTCCTCCTTGGAGGCTGTGCCCTTCGCCTCGGTGGCCAACGTGGCCTGTAGGGATGGGGGTGAGAGTAGGCAGCGTTTCTTCCTGTGCAAGCAGAAGGCCGCTGATGTGTTCGACTGGGGCATCTCGGGACCCCTCTGTGCCAGTGCTGAGTACGGATGCAGCTTCGGTAACGGGGGCTGCCAGCAGGACTGCT